TCAGCAAGGAATTGCTTTTTAGACAGAACTGTAATAATTTGGCTGGGAAATCAAAGCCAGGCAGACATGCCCTAACATTTTCCTCTCAGATCAAGCCAAATGGAGAGTAAGGAAACACAATTCTGATGCCAGGTGATGTAGCCATTTCACGGCAGCTTAATACACAGAGTATGACAGGCACAATCAAACACCCATTGGAGAACTCACTTGTCCTATTGTGTCATCAAAGGCACTAACAGAAGAACACGTGAAATTCAAGTCTGTTTCTGGATCTCTCCGGATGCCATCAGAATCAGACTCACGCACAAAACAAAAGTTTTGTTTTTAGGAAGAATGGAGCCAAAGGAAGAAGTGTAAAATTTGCCAGTATCTTGAAGTAGCTCTCTTCTTAAGCCACTTTAATGTTATTAGTAAATTAACAGCGTGCGAAATAGGGTTGCTTGAGGTCTGGGTGCCATTTGAATGTGAGGATTGCACTCAAGAGCATCCTGGACCTTCTAGTGATCTTATTTAGACCAATCCAGCCTGTTCCAAAACAGGCACTGTGGACAAGCCTTGATTTTGACACCAAAGGTGATTAATTGCTGACTGATGTCCATAACCTCATGACATTATCTAATCCCCTTTTAAAGCATCCAGGTTGGCAACCACCTCGTGGCAGTGAATTCCACAACTATATATTAGTGGTGCCATATGTTTTGCTAAAGCACAGCAAAAAGAATTATGCAAGCAAAATCAAAAGATGGGATGCTCCAAATAAAAAAACATTACCATGAAAATGAACTGGAGATTAATACCATATTTCGCATGGATATAGCAGAATGTATGCTCTTGCTCTGTGACAAATGTGGAGGCATTTGGGCCAAGGGCTTTTGAGTTGTGATTTTTTAAAAGGCACAAGTGACCAGAAAGCTATAGTTAATTGAAAAGAGATGAAAAACATAGATAAAACAATGTTGGCATACCTGGGGGGGTATGAAATCGGTGCCTTTTTAAAATAAAATCTGACAATTCCGAAGGAACTACAGTATCTGCATAGCAAAGCATTCTGGCCAATCAGAATGTGTCTTCAGTCAGCCCACAGGGCAGATGTTTGTCACTTTTAACCATGCCATTGCCTTTAATGTGGAAGAATAGCTTTTAAAATATTTACACAAGAAGGAGCTTAGAATGTGTGACTAGGAAGGAGTTAAATGCTTTCTTTCACACTGAAGGCAATGGCAGGGTTAAAGGCACTGATTTCAGAAGTTTTTAGGGTTAAAAAGCAGTAATTAAAAGGTCTGATTCAGAGCCATGAATGACTCATTTCCTGTGAATGAAAAAGAAGAGGTTAAAATGGAGGGTTCCCCCCCCGGCATGCAAATGTTGTCTTATCTATGCCTTTCATCTCTTTTCAATTAGCTGTAGCTTTCTGGTTGCTTGTGCCTTTATGGGGTAAAACAGTGCTGCTTTTAAAAAAAATCACAAATCATGACACACACACCCATGCATGGAGCCCGCTCCCCACAACCATTCTGTGGCCCCAAAAAGGTTGGGGACCGCTGCCCTAGAAGACAGAAACAAAATTCAAAATGATCTTGCTAAGATGGAGCACTGGGCCGAAAGCAACAGAATTAAATTCAACAGGGAGAAGTGCAAAGTACTGCACCTTGGAAAAAGAAACCAATTGCACAGTTACAAGATGGGGGATACCTGGCTCAGCAAAACTACGAGTAAGAAGGTTCTTGGAATTGTCGCAGATCACAAGCTAAATATGAGCCAACAGTGTGGGGTGGCTACAAAGGCAAATGCTATTTTAGGCTGGATTAATAGAAGTACAGTTTCCAAATCCTGAGAGGTGCTAGTTCCTCTCTATTCAGCACTGGTTAGGTCTCACCTTGAGTCTTGTGTCCGGTTCTGGACACCACACTTCAAGAAGGATGCTAACAAATTGGAAGAAGTTCAGAGGACAGCAACAAGGATGATCAGGGGGCTGGAGACCAAGGCTTATGAGGAAAGGCTGAAAGAATTAGGCATGTTTAGCCTTGATAAAGAAGACTGAGGGGTGATATGATAGCACTTTTCAAAAATATGAAAGGCTGTCATAACAGAGGAGGGGCAGGATTTGTTTTCCATCATTCCAGAGTGCAAGACACGCAACAATGGGCTGAAATTAAAGTAACTCAGATTTTGGTTGATTATCAGGAAAAAATTCCTAACTGTTAGAGCAGTAAAACAGTGGAACCGGTTACCTCGGGAGTTGGGGAGTACTGGAGGCATTGAAGAAAAACTTGGATAATCACCTGGCAGATATGCTTTGATTGTATTCCTGCACTGAGCAGGGGGTTGGACTTGATGGTCTTGTAGGTCCCTTCCAACTTCACTTTTCTATGATTCTATGAAATCCTATTTGCACCCATATACTACACCACAGAAATCATGGGTCCTTCAATGGATGGCAAAAACAAGAGGTGCAAAAACATGGGGATGACACACAGATCCTCATGGGGCCACATGATTTTTCTGAAGTATCATCCCAAAACCATTGTCCACTCACAGGCACCATTTATGCTCATAGGTCCCATCTCTGCCCACATACTAAAACATAGAAATTGTGGCTCCTTCAATGCATATCTTTGCAGTTGCACAAAAACATAGATCTGAAGCACGGATCCTCATGGATCCACGTGATTTTTCTGCAGGATTGTCTCACACCACTGTCTAATCACAGGTCCTATCTCTGCCACAAACTACAAGACAGAAATCACGGGTCCCCCAGAGCATGGCTTTGCAGCAATGCAAAACACCAATGTAAGTCAGAAATGTTCATGGACCAACATGATTTTTCTGCAGGATCATTCTCAAACCACTGTCCATGCATAGGCCCCAGTTGTGCCCATAGGTTACACAATAGAAATCACGGGTCCTCCAGTACATGGCTTTGCAATGGTGTAAAAACATGGATTCAACATAGGATCTGTATGGATCCACATCATTTTGATGCAGAGTCATCCCCAAACCACTGTCCAATCGTAAGTCTCATCTCTGGCCATATACTAAAACACAGAAATTGTGGGTCCTTCAGCTCATGGCTTTGGAGTTGCACAAAAACATGGATTTGAAGAAGAGATCCTCATGGATTCATGATTTTTACACAGGATCATCCCCAAACTACTATCAAATCACAGGACCCATCTTTGTCCACAGAGTACACCAGAGAAATCATGGGTCTACCAGTACATGGCTTTGCAGTGGTGCAAAAAGATACATCTGATGCACAGATCCACTTGGATCCACATTATTTTTATGGAGGATTATCCTAAACCACTGTCCAGACATAAGCCCCACTTGTGCCCATAGATAACAACAGGGAAATCATGGGTCCCCGAGTGCATGGTTTTGCAGTGGGGCAAAAGCAAAGGGACAAATTTTGGAAAACATGTACACAACATATCTGTAGAAGTTTTGGTTTAAAACAGCTTTTCTTTCTCAGCTTGCCTAACTCAGAGAAAGGGATATGAGACTGGAACATAGCTTTCCAGTCTGCATTTGGCGGAGTGGGCACAGCAACATTGGTTTAGCCAAGAGGTTAAAGTAGGGTGTGTATTAGAGATGGGCATGAACCTTGATTCGGAGGTTCATTCTGTTTCATTGACATGGCACCACAGGCCTCCTGGAAAATCTTAAAAAGCAGACAGAGTTGGGTGTCATCAGCACACTGGTGGTACCAGACTACAAAATTCTGGACAGCCTCTTTCAGGTTTTTCATGCATATGTGAAACATTATGGGGAATCATGGAAGCCTGAGACACTCCACAGGTCAAGGTGTTGAACAGGAGTTCCCCAGCACCACTATCATTCACAAAGTGACATCACCCAAGGGAAAATCCCAGAAGCTGACTTCTTTTTTCATTAATTCAAAACTTCTCACCCAAACACAAAGCAACTGTCAGGGCTGTTTTTCAATAAGTGTCAATGGTAGTGAGCAGAAGAGAGTATACTGTAGACCAGGGGTCTCCAAATTTTTCAAAAGGGGCACATCATAAATTTTCCGCATTTTCAACGGCCAAAGGAACACACGCATATCCACACATGTCCAGATAAAAATGCAATGTGGGCTGGATGTGGCCCACAGGCTGTAGTTCGAAGACCCCTGCTGTAGACCATCTTGACTGTCATCATTGGTGTGGCCAACATTCAGGCTGCCCTTTTCTAAGTAAAGCTTGGCATCCTTTACCTTGCTGGCTATGCAGACACAATATTTTGCAGCAATATTGGGCCATTTCCTGGATTTTTGAATCATGGGTACAGAAGCACAATATCCCACATTCATAAACCAGAGGTTTTTTTTTGAAGGACTAAATATTCTGTGCACAAAGAAAAATGTTACTATCTGAAAGGAACAAGGAAGGAAGGCTGTTCAGAAAGTAATACAACCTTCTAGTTGCACAGTTTAAATATTAAGTCCCAGGCATGGGATTTTCAGGTTTTTTTTCACCCACTACATTTTACCAGGAGCTCCCCCAACTAGAATTCTGGTAGAGTTAGTTGAAAAAATCCAAGTTCTTAGAGGAGATTCAGGATCCTCACCTGTTCCTTGCTAAGGCTCTTTTTGAAGACGGCCATTAAAACACAGACATGGATGGAGCATTCTAAGTTCCATGAGAACAGGAAAGCATTTGGAGACTGGCAGTCTGTTGTTGTGTTTTTTTGGAGCGGCACCCTCTACAGGGCCTAATGAACAGAGAGACTGGAGCCCCCTAATGCTTTGCTGCAATACTGCAATAAAAATTTAAGGCAATAGAAAAATTATCATAAAATATGAAGCACTCAAACAAAACAGAACAAAACATATTCAGGCACAATGCATAATTGAAATAAGAAATTTAAGTACTGTATTACCAGAAATGCAGCTACTATTGGGGGAGGGGGTGTTGGGGACTGGAGAAACAAAGCTAAATGCTTCACTTGCACAGGAAGATTTCCATTAAGATAAAAAGAGCAAGAGCGAGAGAACTTACTTTGTTCTAGGCTGATGTACTAATCCTGGAAGCTCTTTATTTGTCTTAAGTCTTACATGTGAACTGGCACTTTTTTCCTGGGGGGTAGAAACAGAAAAGGAAATGGGATAGTGAGACAGACAAGATAAGACATAATCTATTAGAGTTTATTTTAAAATATGGAACATTTATCTATCATTAGATTGCAACTAGACAAAGAGGTGATGTGTAAATACAACATTTTAAAATACAGAGTGATCAAATATTGCAACATTGGGCTCTAGAATGACCAATGTCTTGTCTGAAAACTTTATATTAAGCATTTCCGGTCTCTTTTCATAAACACTAAAGTCTCACAAGAAATAGTAATATTTTGTGCTTACATGGCAAAATATAGCGTATTTATTCTAGAAGACACAAGGCAGGAATGTGGACAGTGAAAAAGGAAACATAGTTTCAGACCTTTAAAAAAAGCTTAGGAGACAGCAGTGGAAAGAAATGCCACCAAAGAAACAGCTGTTTTGGGGAGAAGGCATCATCATTTGAAATCAGCAGATGGAATCAAGTCAATGGACAGAATCTGGTGTAAAGGAAAGCAACACACCAGAAAAGGCAATCTGAGAGTTGGGAGTGGAAGAGAGAAGGAGAACCATGTGTTGGAGGACAGCTCTATGAAAAATACGATAGAATAAGGATAAAACAAACCAGATAGAAACATATGGAACAGGAGTTGGAAATCCTTCTATCTCCCTCCAGCCACACCTCCATTTTGAATTACCCTGAAATGTCAATAGATACTCTCAAAACCATTAAGATCTTTTTTTTTTAACTGAATCTGAATCCTCCAAGACATCTCAAGTACTATATCGTAAGAACTTTGCTCACTTCTCTTTTCTACTCCTTGGATGTTTCACACAACTTCTACAGAAGCAATAATAAGTTACTCCTGTTTGCATCTATGCAATAATGCCTGGATCTTCATTTGCAAATGGGTTCCTCAATTGCACCACTGCTGTAGGGGAGGAGGGGCTTGAGTGACAGAATTATCCCTCGTGAAATAATAATACAGTCCTATCTCTAGAATGCTAGTATATCAGGAAATAGTGCAGGATTTCCAGATTTCCTTTCAATATGAAAGGAAATCTGTTGTTGTTTGGTAGAGCATTCAGTCATACACAGATTTAAAGCAAAAAAAAAAGGACAAGATTTATGATATCTCAATGATCTAGGCCTCATCCATTTGGATTGTTTAACAGTCAGCTGCTTTTCATTAAAAAAATCTTCTAAATGTGTGGATTTAGAAAAAAAAACTAAGGGATAATTACATAAAACTAGAAATTATAATAATTACAGGCTTCCTGTCAGTGCCCAACACCTTCTAGGGATATGAAATGATTGGTTCAAACTGAGAGACTAAGATGCAGATAAGCGACATTATGGGCAGGCGTTAGTTCAAAGCTATCAGTCTTGCCAGACCTTTCCACTCCTTCTTTAGTGATACAATATAAAGCCTCAGAATAAAGGGCACGGCCCATCTGCTCAGTTCTCATGATCCCATGGGACACCTTTTTAATCTTGCTTTGCAACAGCTATTTCTGTTTCTCCTTTTGCCTGTTTTGCCTACATGCACCATAAACAGATATTGCTCTCAAATAAAAAAATGGGCTGGTGGATGGGTGGGACAGGGAGAGTTAATAAGATTGCAAAGGCACGGCTCCACTGTAAAGGTATAAAACTGGAGATACAAAGTCAGCATCCAGTTGCACAAATCCATATGCTGTCCTTTTGCTTTTTCTCAAATATGGGAGGAAATAAACCACTACAAATAATTGTCAGAAATTCATTTCCCCACCCTAGTTTACAACTACTGAAAAATACACAAGTAAAAAGTGAACTTGCATTTGGTTATATCTGCAGCATTTACCCATTTGGAAACGAGCTGATGGTTACAAGCTTATTCCTGACCTGCCCCTTGCGTACATATAACAAATGTTCTTTGCTCAAACTAACTGCACCAAGTAATGTAAAGAAGCGAAGTGGACTCTCCTCTTAAACATACAATCTGAAGTCCACATGGAATCAAATCCTGGATTACACAGAAAACCAGGTTGGCTCTAACTTGAAACTGCCCAAAGCCTCCCAGTAAGTTTTAGAGCAGGGCAGGAGTTTCCCACTAGCTGAGCCTTCCCCAGAGTTACCTAATCCATACTGGCTACTAATCTCTGTACTGGCCATCAAAGCACAAAACCATAGTCTGTGGTTTTGTGCTTTGAAGCCTTTTCCTGTTTCAGCCATAGCTGAAGTGGGGAATAGCAATAAGAAAGATCTTCAAACAATGTGCATATGGCTCAGTTCGAGCACCAAGACAAATTATGGTTAAAGAAACTGAACTATGGTTTGACATGATAGAAGGGATGAGAAATAATGCTTTCTGCCTAGCCAGCAAATCAGAATTAGAAACCATGGTTTTTTAAACTGTATTTGCAGCAAATAATGGGTTGTGCTGTGATTCACTGTGATGTCCACACTGAAAAAACGCTGCTGCTCCAGTGCGTGCTTGCCATACCACAGAAACAGGAGTATTGAGCAGAGTTTTAAAATGATTCTGAATAATTAAAAACTCAAACCATGATTTGTATTCTAAATTATGGTCAGCGTACCACACAGTTTGAGAGAATACCTCAACTGAGTTAAGTGTTAATAGTTGACGCATACATTGCACTTTTCAGAGGTAATCAGGGATGGATTTTAACAAAAATACATTGTTCGCTAATTATATCTAAATTTCTCTAGGCACTTAAATAGTGTTGTCTAGCAGGAAACAGTACAGCCTCTATTTTCCATCTGCTACTCAGCAGGATTAATAAACTGCAGGAAAGAATTTAACAGCAGAAATAAAACTGAGCTCAATGAAAATCTGTTCACTCATTTTTAATCTGGCAGATCACACTGTTTATATACTTGTACTTAACTGCAAGCATGTATGCACAGAAATTCCAAAGACCCACTCACATAAGGAAATATTCCTCATAAACTAATTTGAGATTGTCAAAATTTTTAGTTTTATCTGGTTTGTAGCCTCAACTGAATTTGTTATTTCTCTTTCAAAATTAAAAGGTTTTAGAAGACATAATCAAGAGTTCTTCCCAGGGTTACTGGTTTTTAAGAGTTTTATCTCAAACCTTTCAGTAACAGAAAGTGAGACAGAGTTAAAGGAGAAAAAAAGCAGTACAAATTTCTTTATATCTCTCCAATGATCCTGGGTGGCAGTGACAAACATGAGCCATACTGGTTTGACTAATGTCTGAGGCAGTCTAGGCAGCACTAGAGTTTCTTTTTAATTGCCCTGGATACCACTGTCAAGATCAAACACCTGACCAGATTTTGTAAAGGACTGTAGATTGTTCCACATATTTCCCTTAATGGATACTCAATGAGTATTGGTACTAAAATATTGAACAAAAGCATTTACTCAGCCATGAAGAGTACTAGGTACTGTGAAGCCAGCTATAGTCAGAGTCTGATAATACAAAAATACAAAGAATACACCCCCCCCCACACACACACACAATAAGACAATGCAGAGCACCATAAACAGTGAAATCTCAAATCAAATGACTCAAATAGGAATTAAATAAAGAACAAACAGATGAGAGATACAATGTGAAATATAAAAAGATCAACTATGGAGAATTACACAAGGGCTCAAATCTTCTTGGTGTAACTAGACTTCTGGAAGGGTTTTGATGCCACCAGCAGGAGGAGATTTTGGATAATGAAAGAATTCCACCTTCTCTTCTATGGCTTTTCTGACTTAACAAGTAATTCATTTAATGTGGGAGCCATAGGACAGAAGGAAGAAGTATTTAATTACTGAAAATCTTCCCCACCAGCAATGTAATTTGATAGTGGTGAATTCTGGTAATGAAAATCTTCCTCCTTCCATCCTGCAGCTCCCATGTAATGAAATAGATTATTTGCAAGTCAGAAAAGCCACAAGGAGGAAATCTGTCATAACCTAAACTCTCCTCCTACTGGTGATACCACTTTCCAACAACTATAGATACAAAAACAGGATTTCAGCCAAGAACTTCTGAAATAAAATTAGAGAAGCCAAAGAAAAATGACGACCCAACAACAGAAATAGAGAAACCCATCAAAGATCTATACGTATATCTTTTGGTCAAGGAGATCAAAGATTAAGGAGGCAGAAGAATGATGCAAGGAGCATCAATGGCCATTACTGGTGGATAAGGCAAATTTTTTGATACTCGACACAAGGATAAAATCATGGTGTCAAGTTAATACTGTACCTTAAACAGCTATTTGAAGATAATAACGCATTGAATTTAGTCCACCAGATGTTAACACAAGAAACACAGAAATCCAAAATAGCTGGAAAAGCACCTGATTTTGTACAAGTACTGAAACTAAGACAATTTATTTATTTATTTAAAATATTTTATCCCACCATCTTCTTAGAAAGAACCCAAGGTAGCTTACATAATTAAAAAGACAATATTAAAAAACAGAGGTATAGAAATATTTAAAAAGAATTAAACAAGTATTACTTTGAAAATGGTAATAAAATCAATACTAAAACACATTTAAAACAACAGAGCATAACAATCCATTAAAAAACCCTTCTCAGACCACTAGTTATTAAGGGAAAGCCTACCTGAAGAGAAAGGTCTTTGCCTGCTTTTGGAAGGACAACAAAGATGGGGTCAACTTAGATTCCTGTGGGAGGGAGTTCCAGAATCTGGGAGCAGCAACAGAGAAGGCCCTCTCCCGTGTCCCCACCTGTGAAGATGGTGGGACCGAGAACAAGGCTTCCCTTGATGATTTTAAAACCTAGGCAGGCTCACAGAAGGAGATGTAGTCTTTTAGATAGTGTGGAACAAAGCTATTTAGGGTTAAAGCCAGCACTTTGAATTGTGCCTGGAAATGGATTGGCAGCCAGTAAAGCCGCTATCAATAAATAAATAAATAAAAATAAATATTAAAGCCAGCACTTTGAATTGTGCCTGGAAATGGATTGGCAGCCAGTAAGATATTGCTACATGTTTTAGTGTATCTTTTCCAATTAAATCTACAG